CTAAACCCCTCAGGCCCTTGGACGCCTGCAGTGGGATCCCAAACCTGGGCCTCCAGAGCCCAACACTTCCCCCACAAAGCCCAGGCGGTTTAGGGTTTAGGGTTTAGCGTTTAGGGTTTAGGGTTCCCAGAAGCTTGGGGTATATATTGGGGTTATATACTGATAATGGAAAAACAATGGAAACTACTATTTAGGGTTTAGGGTTTGGGGTATATAGTCTCCCGTAAGTAGATAGAATATGGCTTTGGATATCTTATAATAAGATCCCCATATACCCTATATTCTATCTACTTAAGGGGGACCATAGTTCTAGCAGCCTGAAGGTTCCCAGAAGCTTGATTTAGGGTTTAAGGTTTAGGGTTCATAGGGTTCAGGGTTTATAGGGTTTAGGGTTTATAGGGTTTAGGGTTTATGGTGTTCAGGGGCTATAGGGCTTAGGGTTTGTAGGGTTTTTCAGTGGTTCTATGTTTTTTCTAAACCCTTCGGACTTTTACGTCTGCGCAATATGTATGGTTTATACGGTTTAGGTCTTATAGGGTCAGGGTTTTTCAGGGTTTATATGGTCTAGGGTTTAGGTTGACCCAGTGAAGCCCGGGAGTCTGAGGCCCGATCTCAGGGAGCTGGCCTGGGTCACAACATGGAAGTTAGGGACCCTCGGGATATGTAGGGACTACAAGGGACCATGGGAGTCCTTCTTGCAGATTTTAGGGTCTGGGGTTTGGGGTTTAGGGTGTCAAGGATTTTTGAAAAACTCCTACATGGTTTGGTACTTTCCGCCTGGGGCGCTCGAGGATGAGATCGGATTTAAGAACTTGAGCAAATGTCAGACAAAGCTTAGGTAGCGGGATCCGGTAGTTCGTCGGGGTTGGAGAGTCTTGCTCTGAGGGATACGATGTAAGGGGTCTTACTTAGGGTTAAGCGAGACAAAGGTTAAGGAACAAATCTACCAACCTACAAGGCAACCAGTAACTTGCCGTAGGGCTTACTGAATGATGAAAAATGATGCACAAGGTTCAAAAGTATGAGAAATGATGAGAAAAGCTGAAGCATGATGTAAAGCCAGAAGAATATTGAACATGATGGAAAACGTGAAACACGATGAACTATGATGGAAAATCATAAAATGTAGTGGTTTGCAAGGTGAGATAGCAAATCCGGCGATCCCTCCATGGGAGGGCGGTGGCCATTACCCATGTCTTGCTTTGGTACATGACAAGCAAATCAAATACTAAATACTGGCTTTTTTGTGCTCTGCTACAAGGGGGTAATACCAAGATTAATTACTTAGGAATTCGTCATCAACAAACGAGCTACCCTTTCACACTGTCACATTGTACATGGATGTACATGGCACCCGTTTAAACTAACTACGGGGAAGGGCGGAAACGGACACCGCACAGCCAAGTGATGGAAGGAACTCTATTTGTGGTGTTACCTCAAGGACAACAATAGATACTACCTCGTACAAGCAAGTCTGGTATACACATGGCTGTAATCCTGCTTATGGGGGGCCCTCCGAAATGAACTCCCCAGGTTTTCTGGATCCCGGACCATGTGGCTAAGGTTGGCAATGTTTAGGACCAAGGGGCGTATGCAGCCGAACTCACGAGTCGTTATGAGCAGCAGGGCTTACATGGGTAGGGTTTAGATCTTGGGGTTAAGACATGGGCCTCGATTGGTTAAGGACCCTCAAAACTCAGATATCTCTGCAGACGAAGCCCTGATCAGTCTTCCGTAACAGGCAAGCATTCCTTGAAGCAGGGAACAGCCGGGAGCACGTTTTGAGTCCAGGCGATTGGTTGAGTGGCACTTACCTCAAAGCAGAAGGCAGGAGCATTCTTCGATGAAGCTTCTTTTCTGGCGCAAATTTCTCAAATGTGTCAATCACATCCTTTGCTTCGTGAAATGGCGTGTGCCATCACGAGCACCAAGCTTTGCTTGGAGCAGCATACACGTTGCGACCAATGGCTTACGCGCGGATTGGGTTTCCACGAAAACCTTGAGGTCCCAACCAAAATCAATTTAGTGAACGGAATGGGCAACAACCCTTTAGAGAACTGATTCATGGCAGGAAGTGCATCACTTGGGGTTCTGTTCTTCTGAAAGTCAGTTTGCTGGGAAACCCTATTAGCCAGCCCGAGACTACACTCTGATAGCCTGGCGTGCAGGTGGAGCAATGTGCAATGCGATTCTTTCGATGCTTTCTGATTTTGTGAATGGTTTGTCGGTACAGGACTTCATGTTCTGTGGAGCTTGGGGACTGGAACTCCAGGGTATCCGGAGTCCCGAGGGCTTTGGGAGTCAGTGATCGCTTAACCTTGAGCCACCACCACCTTCATCACCTGAGCGTGCATTGGGGGGTCCAGACTTAAGCACCTGTGAAGAAAAAGCTATTCCGATTGCCAAGCATCCACGCGTATGCCGTATGATTCCCTAGTGGGAGAATGCTGAGAATGATAATGCCATGCTCCTAATTGGGCTTTGATACTGAGAAAACAAAACATCTTCGATAATGATCCAGGAGCCTTGACAAGCGCAACAATCGCCTGGGACTTATAGAGCCTATGCAACATCCTGCTTGCTATCTAGTGTCACGCAGACTGCATGCTCCACCATGCCTGCATGAAATACGTAAACCAACCCTGTAATTGCCGAGTTGACTTTCAGCCAACGCAAAGCCAGTCTTCCGAAACCTCTGAGGAAAAGATCCCTCGCGGGGCCAACTGGAAACAGCATCAGCAAACACGGAATATCAAAGTTTTGCACTGCACTCCGGCCAACGTTGAGGAGTAAGCTCAAACAGCGCGGTGTATTTGTTGGAATGTGGTAGCAATGACATGACAATCTTCCTCACAATGCATTGCAGTGTCCCCGGCCCTCAGAGACTAAGCGCCTCCCCTGATGGTGAAAGCCCCGCTCCTGCATAAAGAGCCTCTTCCCCATTGAGGGAAATACGATTATGACTATGATATGATATACTATACTATACTATAACATAACATACTTTAATATACCAACTAAATGCATTTTAAAATATACTAGAATATACTAACTAACAGATATTATAAAATACACTATGACATACTAAAATCTACTAAAATATACCAATACCGGAGGGAGCTTCCTGTGGGGAGGTTATGGCTGATCCTGCCTTCTTGTCAGGTCGAGGATACAGAGCTTTGTCCAGGCACTGCCACTACATGGGCATCCGGCCCTCGAACCGAAAATTAGGGGTCCCCTGAAAGGGGTTTATAGGGATTATAAGGGGATTCTATGGGGGTATATAGGGTTGAAGGGCTCCCAATATTAACGCTACCATTTTGGGGTAGCCAGAACAAGGATTGTAGGATCTTGGGTTCCATGATGGGGTCATGTCAAAATAATCCCCCTTATGTGGTACATTATAGTAGTATGTTGGGAGTATTTACTATTAAGGGGTGGGCGGGTTTAATATTGGGGGGACGGGATTATCATGGGGAAGTTGGTTTCTAAGGTAGACTCCTTTCGGATCTCAACCATTTTTGAAGTTTCTGCAAGGGCGGACATCTTCAGCCACGGAATTCACAAAGGAATTCTAATTATGTAAGAGACCTCCTCATTGTACAAAACAAGCCCGGAGAAGCCGTTGCCAAATTTGAGGCAGCTGTCGCACCCCCTGAAATCTCCCTATCCTTCTGAATCACTGTTGAATAAAGACCACGCATTGTGGGGAATTTTGCCAGAAGCCGGAGCGGCCCCCCCCGAACCCTACACCTTAGCTCTGGCAAGCAAGGAGGGAAGGAATGGATCACTATAGTGGTCGCTATATAAACCCCCAAACATTTGACAGTTTGGATTTTCTTTCTATTCATTCCCTACTATTCAAAAGTAAGATAACCTTCGACCCCTCAAACTAGAAGGAGGGTCTAGGATGCCCCGGCAGCATTGCCGGGTGTGAGACGCAGACCCACACAAGCAGTTTGGCCGTCCTTCCCCTCGGGTTGCGCTTGCAGTTTACGATTTGGGTGTATAGTGATACACGCTCCTTTGTAGGTGGCTACGTAAGGGATACATGTGGGTAGACTTTGGGGGCTAGGGGGGGGGCTCGGGATTTGAATTTGTGGGTAGGGCGCTGGAAATCAAGGACCAAGCAAAGAAAGACTAAAGTCTCAACGTTTATACGTGAGTTGGCAGTTCTGGCCTGTGCTGGGCCCATGTTAAAAATGCAGAAAAAAGTGCTTGAGGGCCCCAACAGAATCCAACAGAGCCAAAACCTTGGCAAACCCCAATGACGCGTCCTACAGGTTCGTTTCTATCTTAACGCACGCAACAAGGGAAACATACACAAGTACCAAAGGCCTAAACCGTAAACAGGTTTTGTGAGACAATGACATACTTAATGCTTAAGGCTGCTGGCGGCCGTACCTGAGGGATTGGAGAGTCCTACCGACATGTTGCAGGCTGAAACTGCCAAGCATGTTTCAGCCCATGTCAGTCGTAGCTATCCCAAAAGGCTCGAAGTACAGCATGCTCATGCTTCCTGAATGTCCTGAGAGTCATTATGAGTCTCACTGAGCTTGCCTGCCAGAGGCAGGATGATAAAACCCCCACCTCCCCAATGACAGATTTACCACAAAAGTGTGATGTACCACTATTGGCATCTTTATTCCGAGGGGGGTGGGGGGGTTACGGTCCAGTTCCTAAAGCTTCGAGCCATCATCTAAACAGTCGGAGCCTGCCACGCGTGAAACGATGGGATCCGGTGCCATTCGGCATAGATCACATCCCAAAAAACCTGAGGGCTTGATCAGGCAAATTGCGGCCAAAGATCTCCTGGTCAGAGTTAAGTTCTTCAGAGTAAACCTTTGCTCAAAACATCTGAACAGACCCTTTACATCTTGTCCGTAGACTGCATGGGGAACACCTGTATGCTTTGAATCTTAGAGCGCTGCATGCAGCAGGTTATTTGCTCCCGGGTTCATTTTGCCCAGCATCCTTCCATCAGGTCCAAACGCGAATCGTCAAACCTGGCTCCAAGGGATTTTGTGCTTCGGATGCTCCTCCTACCTGCTTTGGACGCCCGCCAGCTCTACGAACACTAGTCTAACGTCGGAATTTCCCTCTCCAGGAATGCCGTTGACTAGTGATGGGAGCGGGCATGGTCTTGACAAGAGAATGGACAAAACGTCGGCATTGACGACTCTGGCTTCGGGCAAGGCAAGGATTGCTTTGGGCAGAGGTTCCTGCCTGGAACTGCATCTGCGATGCATCCTTCTTCCTTTCACCAGACCTGTCATCCAAGACGGTAGATGCACATAGGACATGCGCAGAATTGCATGACCAGCGTCATGAATTAAGTACGGATCTTTGGGAAGTAGCTGTGGAGAGCCCTTGCACATGCTATGGCTCTGACCCATGCGCAAACTTGTGAGTCCCCTTGAGATCGACCCGGGGCCCGGACAGGCATTGTATAAGAATCCCGGCAAACTGGTTCCAATCTTCCGCGCAGTGTCTTTGCAATTCCATGCCTTGCAGTGGATCTTTGGGCTTAGGGTTAATCGACTTAGAGTTCAAGAACGAAGGACATGGGCTTAAGGTGAGATCATGAGGTTTGGATGAGGAGCTGTGAGTCTGCGAGCTTAGATTCTCTATGGTAATTATCCGTCGTAGGCAAAACAACCAGAAGAGCTATAGCCCAACAACATCCGCCCTGCTCCATCCACAGTCTATCAACTTATACCGAACTCATGGACTCTTGGGATTGGTGACCGGAGACCCATTCTTCTCTCCCTCCACTAGTATCAAGCTCTCGCTCCGAAGACCGAAAAAGAAAAAAACAAAAAGAGTGCAAGACTACACGACCCAAATCAGCATTTCACAGTAAGCAAAACAAGACATCCATCCCTTGCTCCCGTCCAAGTTACTCCATCCTTCCATCTTGTTCACTAGCTCCTGGACAGGTGCGACATGCATCAAGCGTTGAAGGCCCGCTACCATGCTCGGACCTTTACTGCGACTGCCCTTCCTTTCTGGGGTCTGTCCTATTATGTACTACTTTTGTGCAGGATATGTTCCGAAGAAAGTAAAACATGGAGGGGAAAATCTCCCGAGTCACGTCAAGTGACTCTGCAAAAAGTAAACCACAGTACGGGTGGTTTTCAGATTCAGAACCGGGATACCCTAGGGACTGCACAAAAGACACGGATAATGTATCAGGCCCCCTGATAGCATTCTATAGGGCAACTCGGAGAATCATCCATATGAGCGTTCGCCGAAACTCCTTTTATAATCCGATGCCATGGACAACTTGGGGGGTCCTGTCGCTTTTGGGGGTTTTGGCATAGGACGAAAGAAAGGTATCGCTCTTGGGGGGTTCAACCAAAACACAGTTATGCTTTAGTCTTAGATTGATGGGTGTCGCTTTTGGGGGGGGGTCCTGTTGCCTTTGGGGCTTTTTGCGCGATTCCTACATCTCGCGGCATTCCTCCTCTTCGTCCCTAGACCTCGAGTATTGACCATTGCATACCATTGCCCATATGAGCTATAATCTAAACTCCTAGTATCCCCCTCAGTAACCCCTATAGAAGTCCCCTATATAAGCCCCTTTTAAGGGGTTTAGACTACAGCTCATATACTTGCAACAAGCCCTGTAGGCTGCATAGAGACGCCTACAGGGTCCGCGAGAAATCGTGTTCTGCCGCCATGAAGTGCCCTGCCCCCAGAAAGGTTCCCCTATAGGTTTAGGGTTCATGTATAGTTTGGGTGTATGTAGAAGCCCTGGGCAAGATTTCACCTAATACACAAAGAAATCTGTGACGAGGAGTTGTGGTTTCTCCAAATTTCGAAGGTGGGGGGTGGAACCTGACGGGTATAAAGACACTATGGGGGTCAACTGAAATTCTGAAAGGATTGCACCGGATAATTTTGATGAACTCCCTATCTAATCCCCCATAATCTCTGTAACCCCCTACATTTCTAGGGGCCATAAGGGTACATGTTGTTCCTTGTTGTGAGAAAACCCATGCCAGGAATCATGTGATACGCTGTCGAAATTGTGATCCCCTGTATAATACGGACCGTACTTTGTAGGGTATCCAAGAACTACGTGGCACTTAGGACCTCTACTAAGGGTTAACCCTTACGTACCTATAATGGGAATATAAGGGAATCCCAAAGGGTTAAGGGTCTAAGGTCCAAGCTAAGTTCCAAGGAGAGAAGTGGCCATCATTTTGACAACCTGCCATGTATGGACGTCTCCTCCACTGCAGACTCCGCCTGCTGCCGGACATTGGTGGCCAAGGGGCCGTAGATGTCCTTTTACTTGCAACAGTCAAGCGCATTGGGTTTAGGGTCTAGGAGCATCACATGAAACACCAAAATGAGATGGAAGCGGGGTCTTAGAGGGAGATATGGGGTTCAGGGTTAGGGGTCAACTTGCTTCGGTTAGTAGGAAATGGAGGAATGGA